GACTCCAATCAGTGTGATGATATTGGATGTGTTGCTGACAGCTGTCCTGCCCTTAAAAAACACACACCTGTTTTGGGTTTACAGGTTTCAAGAAGCACTGTCTGATGTGAACCATGCCTCGCAGAAAAGAGCTCTCAGAAGACCTATGATCAAGAATTGTTGACTTGCATGAAGCTGGAAAGGGTTACAAAAGTATCTCCAAAAGCCTTGATGTTCATGTGTCCATGGTAAGACAGACTGTCAACAAATGGAGAAAGTTTAGCACTGTTGCTACTCTCCCTAGGCATTGTCGTCCTGTAAAAAAATGACTGCAAGAGCACAGTGCAGAATGCTGCATGAGGTAAAGAAGAATCCCAGAGTGTCAGCTAAAGACCTACAGAAATCTCTGGCATATGCTAACATTTTTTGTTGACACATCTACAATAAGGAAAACATTAAACAAGAATGGAGAACATGGGAGGACACCACGAAGGAAGTCATTGCTGTCCAAAACGAATATTGCAGCACGTTTGAAGTTTGCAAAAGAGCACCTGGATGTTCCACAGCACTACTGGCAAAATTTACTGTGGACAGATGAAACTGAGATTGAGTTGTTTGGGAAGAACACACAACACTATGTGTGGAGAAAAAAAGGCACAGCACACCAACATCAAAACCTCATCCCCACTGTAAAACATGGCGGAGGGAGCATCATGGTTTGGGGCTGCTTTGCTGCATCAGGGCCTGGACGGATTGTTGTCATTGATGGGAAAATTAATTCCAGAGTTTATCAAGACATTTTGCAGGAAAACGTACGACCATCTGTCCGCCAACTGAAGCACTGCACAGGATGGGTGATGCAACAGGACAATGACCCAAAGCATACAAGTAATTCAACAAAACAATGGCTGCAACAGCACGGAATACGCCTTCTGGAGTGGTCCAGTCAGAGTCCTGACCTCAACCCAATTGAAATGCTGTGGCATGACCTTAAGAGAGCGATTCACACCAGACATCCCAAGAATATTGCTACACTGAAACAGTTTTGTGAAGAGGAGTGGTCCAAAAATGACTCCAGATCGTTGTGCAGGTCTGATCTGCAACTACAGGAAACGTTTGGTTGAGGTTATTGCTGCTAAAGGAGGGTCAACCAGTTATTAAGTCCAAAGGTTCACATACTTTTTCCTCCCTGCTCTGTGAATGTTTACATGTTATGTGCAATGAAACCTTGGCAACATCTAATGTTTGTGTAGGAATTTGTTCAGCAGACTGTGTTCTTCTATTGTTGTGACTTAGATGACGTTCAGAGCACATTTTATGCCCAATTCATGCAAAACTCCACGTAATCCCAAGGGGTTCACATACTTTTTCTTGCAACTGTAACTGGCCAATATATTGTGTTTTTGTGCATTAAAAGTAAAAAAAGTGTATTTTATTTTCACAAAATGTGCGCTTAAAAAATCACTGTGCGAGTACTATGTGACATTAAATATTGCAGCACCCACCATTTTATTCACTAGGGTGTCTGCTTTAAAAAATATATAATGTTCAGGGGTTCAAAATAATTTCCTAGCAAAAAATACAGATTTATTTTCATGTGAACAAAAAGTGTCAAAAAAGGCTTGGTCTTCAGGTGGTTAGAAGAGTGAATGATGTGTGGCATAAACTTCAAATGCTGGGTATAAAATGCCTCAACCCCCAAAATTACCCCTTTTTTGGAAAGTAGACAACGCAAACTATTTGTTGAGAGGCATGTTGAGTCAATAGAAGAATTTATTTTTTTTCCACAAGTTTATGAAAATTTTTTACACAAAACGATTTATTACTCACACATGCCATGGGTATATGTGGAATTACTCCCCAAAATACATTCTGCTAATTCTATCAAGTATGGGGGTACAACATGTGAGAGACTTTTGGGCAGTCTAGCCAAGTACAGGACCCCAAAATCCAATAAGCACCTTCAGGCTTTTAAATGGCTTTATTTCCTCTTTATTTCCACTTCATGACTACCTATCACAGTTTCGGAGGCCCTGAAATGCCAATTAGCACCAAACCCCCCAAATGACCCATTTTTGCAAAGTAGACACCCCAAGGAATTTGATAAGAAGCATTGTGAGTATTTTGCAGATCTCGTTTGTTGCCACAAGTTTTTGTAAAATGAAGAAAGAAAACAAAAACATATTTTTTCTTTTCTTTACTTGTATTTAAAAACCTTGTGAGAAAAAATGAGATCTGAAAAATACTCAGCATGCCTCTTTTTAAATTCCTTAGGGTGTTCACTTTCCAAAAAGGGGCCATTTTGGGGGGTTTGGTGCTATCCTGGCATTTCAGGGCCTCCGAAACTGTGATAGGTAGTGAGGAAGTGAAATGAGGAAGTTACGCACCTTCAGGTTTCAAAGTGGTCATTGAATTTCAGGCTCCTGTATGCGGCTAGGCTCCCAAAAAGTCTCACACACGTGGTATCCCCATACTCGGTAGAAGTAGCAGAATGTATTTTGGGGTGTAATTCCACATACAGTCATGGCCGAAATTGTTGGCACCCTTGATATTTTTTCCTGAAAATCAAGTATTTCACACAAAAAAGGTATTGCATTAACACATGTTTTGCTATACACATGTTTATTCCCTTTGTATGTATTGGAACAAATATAAAACAGAGGCAGAAAAGCAAATATGACATAATGTCACACAAAACCCCAAAAATGGGCTGGACAAAAGTATTGGCACCCTTAACTTAATATTTGGTTGCACACCCTTTGGAAAACATAACTGAAATCAGTCGCTTCCTATAACCATCAATAAGCTTCTGACACCTCTCACCCGGAATTTTGGACCACTCTTCCTTTGCAAACAGCTCCAGGTCTCTCTTATTGGAAGGACACCTTTTCCCAACAGCAATTTTAAGATCTCTCCACAGGTGTTCAATGGGATTTAGATCTGGGCTCATTGCTGGCCACTTCAGAACTCTCCAGCGCTTCTTTGCCATCCATTTCTGAGTGCTTTTTGACGTATGTTTGGGGTCATTGTCCTGCTGGAAGACCCAGGATCTTGGACGCAAACCCAGCTTTCTGACACTGGGCCCTACAGTGCGACCCAAAATCCTTTGGTAATCCTCAGATTTCATGATGCCTTGCACACAGTCAAGGCACCCAGTGCCAGAGGCAGCAAAACAACCCCAAAACATCATTGAACCTCCACCATATTTTACCGTAGGTACTGTGTTTTGTTCTTTGTAGGCCTCATTCCGTTTTCGGTAAACAGTAGAATAATGATGTGCTTTACCGAAAAGCTCTATCTTGGTCTCATCTGTCCACAAGACGTTTTCCCAGAAGGCTTTTGGCTTACTCAAGTACATTTTGGCAAACTGTAGTCTTGCTTTTTTATGTCTCTGTGTCAGCAGTGGGGTCCTCCTGGGTCTCCTGCCATAGCGTTTCATTTCATTTAAATGTCGACGGATAGTTCGCGCTGACACTGATGCTCCCTGAGCCTGCAGGACAGCTTGAATGTCTTTGGAACATGTTTGGGGCTGCTTATCCACCATCCGGACTATTCTGCGTTGCAATCTTTCATCAATTTTCCTCATCCGTCCACGACCAGGGAGATTAGCTACAGTGCCATGGGTTGCAAACTTCTTGATAATGTTGCGCACTGTGGACAAATGCAAATCTAGTTCTCTGGAGATGGACTTGTAACCTTGAGATTGTTGATATTTTGCCACAATTTTGGTTCTCAGGTCCTCAGACAGTTCTCGTCTCCTCTTTCTGTTGTCCATGCTTAGTGTGGCACAGACAGACACACAATGCAAAGGTTAAGTGAACGTCTCTCCTTTTTATCTGCTTTCAGGTGTGATTTCTATATTGCCCACACCTGTTACTTGCCCCAGGTGAGTTTACAGGAGCATCACATGCTTGTAACATTCTTATTTATCCGCAGTTGTGAAAGGGTGCCAATACTTTTGTCCAGCCCATTTTTGGAGGTTTGTGTGACATTATGTCGAATTTGCTTTCTTTCCTCCCTTTTTTTGTTTTGTCCCAATACACACACAAAGGGAATAAACATGTGTATAGCAAAACATGTGTTAATGCAATACGTTTCGTGAGAAATACATGATTTCCTGGAGAAATATCAAGGGTGCCAACAATTTCGGCCATGACTGTATACACATGGCTTGTGTGAGCAATATATTATTTAAGTGACAACTTTGTGTAAAAAAAAAAATGTTTTTGTCATTTTCCAAAAACTTGTGGAAAAAAAAACAATTCCTCCATGGACTCATAATGCCTCTCAGCAGATAGCTTAGGGTGTCTACTTTCCGAAAAGGGGTCATTTGGGGGTATTTGTACTGTGCTGGTATTTTAGCACCTCAAGAAATGTGATAGGCAATCAGATAGTAAAAGCTGTGTAAGTTCAATTATCTATACCAGGGGTCCTCAAAACTACGGCCCGCGGGCCACATGCGGCCTGCCGAGGCCATTTATCTGGCCCGCCGGCAGGGGCGGGACACTAAATACAGGGGCGGGCAGGGGGCTGCTGTACCTTACCTGGCTCCGGTCCCAGTCCCTCGACGATCCAGTCCAGGAAGCGCTGCTCCTGCATTCACTCCGGCCACTCCCTTACTCCTGCCGCTCGGCTCTGCCTTCTCACTGGTGATTGGGCGCCAGAACTGTAGCTCAGGAAAGGCACACAGACAGCCAATCACCTGCGAGGAGGTGGAGCCGAGCGGCCCCGCAAACATTGAGTGAGAGAGAGGACGGAGTGAAGGACAGCTGACAGGTAGGTGTGCCGTGCTGATGGTGCTGCTGCAACCAGGTATGCTGGCTGCAGTACCACCTAGGCTGGAGCAGGGGTCAGCAAGTTACGTGTTATTCCTGTCAGTGGGAGGAATAGTGCCCCATCATTGGTGTCACTGGTTATAATGATGGGGCATTATTCCTCCCACTGACACCAATGATGGGGCACTATTCCTCCACTGACACCAATGATGGGGCACTATTCCACCCTCCACTGACACCAACGATGGGCACTATTCCACCCTCCACTGACACCAACGATGGGGCACTATTCCTCCCCCCACTGACACCAACGATGGGGCACTATTCCTCCCCCCCCACTGACTCCAATGATGGGGCACTATTCCTCCCCCCCACTGACACCAACGATGGGGCACTATTCCACCCCCCACTGACACCAACGATGGGGCACTATTCCACCCCCCCACTGACACCAACGATGGAACACTATTCCTTCCCCCACTGACACCAGTGATGGGACACTATCCCCCCCACTGACACCAACGATGGAACACTATTCCTCCCACTGACACCAATGTTGGGACACTATCCCCCCCACTGACACCAAAGATGGGGCTCTATTCTTCCCACTGACACCAATGATGGGACATTATTCCTCCCACTGACACCAATGATGGGGCACTATTCCCCCCCACTGACACCAATGACGTACTATTCCTCCCACTGACACCAGTGACGGAGCACTATTCCCCCCCACTGACACCAATGACGTACTATTCCTCCCACTGACACCAAAGATGGGCACTATTCTTCCCACTGACACCAATGATGGGGCACTATTCTTCCCACTGACACCAATGATGGGACACTATTCCTCGCACTGACACCAATGTTGGGACACTATCCCCTTCCCCCACTGACACCAATGACGGGGGAATATTCCCCCCCTCCACACTGACATCAACGATGGGGCACTATTCCTCCCCCCACTGACACCAATAATGGGGCACTATTCCTCCCCCCCACTGACACTAATGATGGGGCACTATTCCTCGAACTGACACCAATGATGGGGTACTATTCCTCCCACTGACACCAATGATGGGGCGCGATTATTCCCACTGACACCAATGATGGGGCACTATTCCTCCCACTGACACCAATGATGGGGCACATTTATTCCCACTGACACCAATGATAGGGCACTATTCCTCCCACTGACACTAATGATGGGGCACGATTCTTCCCACTGACACCAATGATGGGGCACTATTCCTCCCACTGACACCAATGATGGGGCACTATTCCTCCCACTGACACTAATGATGGGGCAAGATTCTTCCCACTGACACCAATGATGGGGCACTATTCCTCCCACTGACACTAATGATGGGGCAAGATTCCTCCCACTGACACCAATGATGGGGCACTATTTCGCTCCATAAGACACACTTGGGGGGAAATGTCTGTGCATCTTATGGAGCGGCCGGCCCAGTATTCCCGCTGCCGTTGTATGTCCGCAGTCTCTGGTCATATCCTGTACTGTGTCCGCATTTGTTCATAGTTTTTTTTTTTTTAAACTATAGTACGGCACCCCAACGGTCTGAGGGACAGTGAACTGGCCCCCTGTTTAAAAAGTTTGAGGACCCCTGATCTATACCATAGTTTGTAGATGCTATAACTTTCACACAAAGCAATAAATATACACTTATTGGGATTTTTTAACCAAAACATGTAGCAGAATACATTTTGGCCTAAATGTATGACTAACTTTGAGTTTTTTGGATATTTTTTATGACAGAAATGAGAAAATATCGTTTTTTCCAAAAATGTTTTTTATAGTGCCAAAAATAAAAAGCACACAGGTAATCAAATACCACCTAAAGAAAGCTTTATTTGTGTGAAAAAACGGATGTAAATTTCATTTATGTACCGTATTGCATGACCGCGCAATTGTCAGTTAAACTACTGCAGTGCTGTATAGCAAAAAAATGGCGTAAATTGCAGTATCTATACCATAGTTTGTAGACGCTATAACTTTCACACAAAGCAATCAATATACACTTATTGGGATTTTTTTACGAAAAACATGTAGCAGAATACATTTTAGCCTAAATTTATGACTAACTTTGAGTTTACTATATATTTTTTATAGCCACAAGTAAAAACTACTGTTTTCCTTCAAAATTTGTGGTCTTTTTTTGTTTATAGTGCGAAAAATAAAAAGCGCATAGGTGATCAAATACCACCAAAAGAAAGATCTATTTGTGTGAAAAAAAGGACGTAAATTTCATTTTGGTACAGCATTGCATGACCATGCAATTATCAGTTGAAATAGTGCAGCACCGAATAGCAAAAAGAGGCCTGGTCATTAAGGGGGGTAAATCCTCAGGATGGCAAGTGATTAACACCTGAGGTTATATTTATCAATCAGTGATGTGCCATTCACCAAACAGGCACTGCAAGTGTATCATGTACCTGGTGATGGAGGCCAATGGAGAGAGGACTTCCCTTGCGGCTAAGTTCCGGACTCCCCTGAGAGTGGGACAGCGGGAGTCTGGCCCAAAGTTGCACAGGTCGCCTGTAGGAGTGCTGGTTGGTGGTTCAATCAGAAGCACTGCTGGTGCATGGAGACAGGTCTACAGACAGGAGGAGCCTGTGCATGGTATGCAAGCCCTTCCAGGATTTGGATGTTTACTGGATAGTCGGTTCAAGCCAAGGTCAGATACCAGGTGGTAATCAGAGCAGTCGTAGTCAGATGGGATAGCCGAGGTCATTCACAGAGGAGCGAGAGAGAGAAAGAATCCGTAAGCCAAGCCGAGGTCAGATCAGGGGTAAATCAGCGTAGACAGGTCCAGGAGCAAGCCGAGTCGGTAACAGGAAATCAAAAGTCAGAATCATAGGAAACAGGAACCAGGAACAGGGCATGGGGAGCTAGAGATCATCCAGCAACCTGAGGAAGTGATGAGCCTCCTTATAAAGGCCGTCTGGAGCCAGACAGAGGCTGATGTGTACTTCTGCGGCCATGTAGAGTACTGGCAGAAATGCCAGATCTTCCAGAACTCCCGCCCTGGACAGGGCCCTGACAGTGCCCCCCCTCCTAAAGGGCAGCCTCCGGATGCCCACCTGGGCCATATTTTCAGGATACTTGGAATTAAATTCTCGGAGAAACCTGGGGGCATGTACATTCCCTTTTGGTTCCAAGGACCTTTCTTCAGGTGGGTACCCCTTCCATCTGACCAGGTACTGGATTTGTCTTCCCCACCTTCTGCAGTCCAGAATTGCTTCAACCTCGTATTCCGTCTCCTCCCCAACTGTTATCGGCCTCAATGTGGCGTGGCATGGAAGCTATCAGCCTGTGTTATGGAAGACCAGGATGCTTCAATAGCGGCCTTCAGCTCTTCTGCATTGTTCGGTCTCATGTTTCTCATCTTTCTCTTGGCAATGCCCCATAGATTGTCTATGGTGTTCAGGTCAGGCGAGTTTGCTGGCCAATCAAGCACAGTAATCCCACGGTCATTGAACCAGGTTTTGGTGCTTTTGTCAGTGTGGGCAGGTGCCAAATCCTGCTGGAAAATGAAGTCAGCATCCCCATAAAGCTCGTAAGAATAAGGAAGCATGAAGTGCTCCAAAATCTCCTGGTAGACGGCTGTGTTGACCCTGGACTTAATGAAGCACAGTGGACCAACACCAGTAGATGAAATGGCTCCTCAAATCAACACAGACTGTGGAACCTTCACACTGAACTTGCAGTGTGTGCCTCTCCATTCTTCCTCCATAATCTGGGTCCTTGGTTTCCAAATGAGATGCAAAAGTTGCTCTCATCAGAAAAGAGGACTTTGGACCACTGAGCAACAGACCAGGTCTGTTTTTCTTTAACCCAGGTAAGAAGCTTCTGACGTTGTTTGTTGTTCAGGAGCGGCTTGACAAGAGGAATACGACATCTGAAGCCCATGTCCAGGATCCGTCTGTGTGTGGTGGCTCTTGATGCACTGACTCCAGCCTCAGTCCTCTCCTTGTGAAAGTCCCCAACACTTTTGAATGGCCTTTTCCTGACAATCCTCTCCAGGCTGCGGTCATCCCTGCTGCTTGTGCACCTTTTTCTTCCACACTTTTCCCTTCCACATAACTTTCTATTAATGTGCTTTGATACAGCACTTTGGGAACATCCCTCCTTATGGAGGGTGTCAATGATGGTTTTCTGCACAACTGTCAGGTCAGCAGTCTTTCCCATGATTGTGATTCCTACTGAACCAGACTGAGAGACCATTTAAAGGCTCAGGAACCCTTTGCAGGTGTTATGGCTTAATTAGCTGATTAGAGTGGGACACTTTGAGCCGAGAATATTGCACCTTTTCACAATATTCTAATTTTCTGAGATTGTGGATTTGGGGTTTTCATGACCTGTAAGCTGTAAGCCATAATCATCACAATTATGACAAATCACGGCTTGAACTATCTTGCTTTGCATGTAATGAGTCTATCTCATATATTAGTTCACCTTTAAGTTGCATTACTGAAAAAAAAAAATGAACTTTTGCACGATATTCTAATTTTTTGAGTTTCACCTGTAGATACCTAACATGTCACACTTTAAAATTGTGAATGCCTGCTGAATGGGGCCAAACTATGGTACTTAAAATTCTCCATATGCAATTTTTACAGGTTACCAGTTTAGAGTTACACAGGAGGTCCGGCACTAGAATTATTTGCTCTTGCTCTGATGTTTGTGACGATACCTGGCAAGTGTGGTGCGATCAACGTTTTCCTAATGTGTGTAATGCGGGATGTACGTATGCATTCTTATTTGCACATATGCACAGGGGGGTGGGGAGCTTTACATTTTTTTATTATTATTTATTTTATCAAACTATTGTTTTTTACACTGTATACTTTATTTTTTTGTATTAACTTTTTTGCCATCAAAAGGGATGAACAACAACGTGCCAGGTCCACTTTATGGAGAGATCTGAGATCTATTAGACCCGAAATCTCTCCTCTGGTCTCCAATGCAGCTGATCAGACCCTGATCAGTCTGATCGAATGCTTTCCTGGCCGCTAACGGCCAGAGCCCAGGAAAGGTGGTGGTGGGAGGAATGAGTAGACCCACTTCCACCTCCTGCAGAAGTGATCGAGTGGCTGTTCAGTGACTCAAATCACTTCTGTGTTAAAAAGAATTGCTGGTAGAAAGTTCTGACACTGGGATGTTGCCTGTAGCTGCAGACATCATCCTGGTATAACCACTGCAAACCAAGGACATAATACAGCGGCAAGTGGTTGGTTAAAGTGAAGTTCAACCCAAAAATGGAAGCTCCGTATATCTGCCTCCCCGTCTGGTTTGACAGGTACCCGCTCTCTCAGTTCGCTGCAACAAACTGAGCCAGACATTTGACACGCCCCCCCCCCCCCTTCCACTGCCTTCTGGGACACTTCACAGGTCCCAGTGGACTGCGACCCATTCACTTCATGCATGCGCAATAGGAAACTGCCTGCAAAGCTGCAAGGCTTCACTGTTGGTTTCCCTTAGTCAAGATGGCGCCAGCACCTGACAGCCGATTGAAGAATCAGCTTGGGGTGAGGACACTGCTGGACCACTGGACAGGTAAGTGCCCTAATATTAAAAGTCAGCAGCTACACTATTTTTTGGGGGGGGGAAAGGGGGGCTGGAACTCCACTTTAAACAGTTTCTAATTACTGTTCTTTGCCTTCCACCAATTTTGTGAATTGTTCACCACAGTGCATACCCTAAGACAGGGGTGGGCAACCTTAAAGAGGTGGAGATCTACCTGAACAACAAGGGAGAAGTCGAAGATCACCTGGCACAGTGTAGCCCAATGTCGCCTCCTCACACCTGATTTAAACCTCTAATTGTCGTACTACTTTGTGGCAATCACATGCACTGCATGGCAAACATGGGTTTAAATCAGATGGTGAGGAGGCAACACATCCTCCCCACTTGATCACTTTTCAGAGGAGCAGCAGAGCCCCCTATTGCTTTTGGTGAGTGCTATCGCCTGCCAAACATGACCCATTCAAGTAAATGGGGCCAGTCTGCAAGCACCCCACAAATGCATGCTACTGTGGGGTCCAAGGGTTTAAAGCAGGTGGGGAGAAAGCAACACACTGCTGTCTGCTTTAACCCCTTGTTTTCTGTACGGCACAATGTTGTAGGGTGGCCTCATTCACTTGGATGGGTTATGATTGGCAGGTGCTACTCCCACCAACCATGACAGGGTATATAACGCCTGCTGCAGCTGTGCCATCTATGTCCATGGCTATTGCAGCTAAAAGGAGGTGCGGTGGGGGGGTGATTAATTTATGAAAAAATTAAAAAATACAATAAAAGTATAAAATCTTGATGGCTAAATCCAATTTCAGTTCTGTATGTGCACCATCCAGCATCTAGTACTTCTTAATATTGGTGATAAACTGGTGTCACTTCTCCAGTTATTCCAACACCTCTTTGTGC